ATTATATGACGCATTACAAACCCATACCACGCGAAAAAATAATTAGTAGCGGATAAATAATACACAGAAAAGGCTAAGGCAAAATCAGTCTCAAATTTCTGAACACAAGCTATAGTCATAAAATCAACGTCAATTTCTTCTTTTTTTCCCAATTCAGCACTTATAGTAGTTGTGACCAGAGTAAAACTTCTTTACCGACTTTATCTAACAACATTTCTCTACTTTATATTATCAAATTACATTTGTTATTTGTGCGGGGTATATGAAAAAAATAAGTAGTGAAAAAGGTATAACGCTTAGTAAAAGGTTGAAGAACACTGTTTTAACGTCTGACAGTGACTTTGTCTATGTACTATGTCTGAGACGTGTTCTAGTTATATAATTAATGGGAGATTGAATCTTTAATTTATTGGTCATTTTGATATCCACAAGTCGAGTTGCATCTTTGCTCGTACACATGAAAGATTAGGAGATTAATTTTGTGAACTAATAACACAAACTCTAACGTTAATGAATTCAGGATAATATGAATATTGTAAACAAGAGTGCAACGCTCAAATATATGGACACGTAGACGAGAGTGAATCAGTCCTTACCGGTACCTTTGACGCTATCGGTACCATCAAGAAATTTCTAGATTTTCAGTAGCAGGAATTTTGTAGAATCAAAACGTACAACCAGACTTCACGCGGACTAAAATCCGTGTTCCCATGGATAAAAAAATACAGAGAAATTTTGGACGAAATATCAAATTTAATAGAATTCATACAAAATTTAGAAATAAATAAAAGTAATAGGCTTTCATGAAAAAATTCCATCTTTAACTACTGAAAATTTTAAAGCAATTGGTCCAGTAATCAAAGAGAAAAGCGACTTTTTAGATTTTCCACTAGGTGTCCAAAAAGTCTTAAAGAACAACAACATAATATTGAAACGATCGCTATATCCACTACGTGTCCGATAAAACAAAGTTTTGTAAACATATTGTCGTAGCTGCAAAAGCGTTGAAGGCCACAAGGTCGTTTGACTTGCTCGTGAAGATTTAGATTCCGGTTACTTATTACTGAATGATAAAAATTTTTTAACTCGGATGCGATCGAACCCCTGGTTTTCAGTGGAGATGTTCCAGCGACTCGACAAAGGTTCTTTGAAATAGTTTAGTGATATAGAACAGATAATATAAATAACAGATAATAAGATATGCTTTAGTGCAGTGGTTCCCAACCTTTCTACCCTGGCGGACCGGTAAAATTAAATTAAATGTAATCGCGGACCGGCAAAAATTGAAATGGCCGGAACAGAAAAGAATAACATATATTTGCGTAATATAATGCAATACCGGGCACTCAATATGCTTTTAGACAAAAAAATGCACCCTTGAAAACTTTTCACACAAAGAAAAACTATCATATAATGTGGCGACCAAAAATTAAAATGGGTGAAACATAAAATAATACCATATATTTTAACTTAATGAAATGCAGTGCTGGGCACCCATTATGCGTAAGTTGGGTACGCATTAAACATCTCAGATAAAAAACATGTACATGCCAAATCATGTAGGAACATAATTAACTCTATAGTGAGAATTCTGCTGCTGTTTCGTTTCCAATACAGGGTCGCAAACGAGGCCTCAAAGAAGTTTCTGCAACACGTAGCTCTGCAACGTCGTGCATCCGATTTTTTTGCTTCGTTTTAATTAAAGCTAGTAATGAAAATGCTTTTTTGCATAACGCAGTAACTGGTTGAAAATACGGAAAACAGTTTGATTGCTCGATTACTTAGCGATAGGTATTCGGTCTCAAGAGATATCCAAAATTGTGACAGTGATTCTTTCTTAAATCTGGACTGTAAAGTCTCACAATTTTAATCAAGCGTTTTCTTTTTCATCGGATTCATCATATTAATCTCTCTGCAGTTGATCGACGCCTCAAACGAAATGAATTTACATTACAATGTCGGTAACTTGGCACCAGGCTCGAAATTCTTCTGTGTCTGCTCAAGATACTGGGAAAGATCTCTGCGGCCCATGCTTTTTTGCGCGTCTGCTGATCACCTGCAGGGTCGCAACAAGTTCATATCTTGCTGAAATATTATACTGTCCTTGACTGTTTTCTGGTTTGAACAAAGAAATATGCATAACGTTTTATATGGATGGTCATGTTAATCAGGAAACGCGTGCCGATTTTGGGTCTCTGTATCTTGCGAGATTTGATAGAGCGCATTCGCGATAAATCGGAGGCGAAAATTGTGATTACTCGGCGCCAAGATGTCGCGAAAGGCGTCGAAATATGACGGCGGAAGAGAAATTGCGTAATAAAACAACGCAACATCGTATTTGGTGAAGCGATTGAGACGGCATAAAAACAACATACCAACGAAATCTCTCGCGGACCGGCAAAAAAGCTTTGCGGACCGGCGGTTGGGAACCACTGTTTTAGTGCACCTGTCAATGATTGATACCAGAAACTTCATCGACACCCATTCGTTGTCGACACCTCATTGTATTGTCGCAGAAGTCTCGTGCTTAGATGTAGGCAGTGGTGGGATTCAAAATTTTTGTAAGCCAGTTCCTTCCCAAAAGTCATATTTTTTAGCCGGTTCTGTTACAAAAACAAAATTGACAGTAATCATTAATGCTAACCGGTTCGCTAATCTCATAAAATTTCGCTGGAGTTAGACGGTTCTATAGAACCGCTGCGAACCGGCTAAATCCCACCACTGGCTGTAGGACCTATGTAGGCTATATGACATATGCCGAGGGTGGGCAAATTTTTTTAGTATAAGAGCCGCATGCAGCAAGTCAGAAATATGTGAGAGCCGTATAATTTTAAAAATTAATAATATTAGAATACCGTGAACTGAAAAGAATTTTACACAAACGTATAGTAACAATATTGGAAAGTATATATTCTTCAACCGCTTAATGAATTTAAAAAAACATTTACGCTACAGTTCCTCTTAGTTAGATTTGAATAATATATAAATATTGCCAGCGAGAAGAGCCGCACAAAAACTCCGGCGAGCCGCATTCTATATTTGTATCGTATCCTATATTTGAAACAATGGACAATGCTTTTATCCGCAACTGACAGCAGTCTAGCGATCTGAGAAGTGAATAATTGGAGCCATTAACGTTTTCTGGGCGTCTTTTCAGTATTCAGATTTCTAGAGTGGCAATTTTCGCTCCGACAGTTCCCCCTCCCACCATGACATCCCACACAACGAAAACACTTTTATGTTTCCTTCCGCCGACATCGATGTGGTGATGATTATTTCGACACCATGTATTGATAAAGTTACAAGACAATGGTGGTTAATTGTTTGCCGGAAATCTTCGATTAAATGCAATTTCGAGCAGACTTTCAGAAAACATGTCAACTAAGAAAAGGACTTGGTCGGATGACTATGTGCAATACGCTGTTCTTTTTTTGCAATTTATGTTGCTTTAAGAACCACGGCTGTACATCATACGCAACGCGAGAATAGCTATGTCCTTTATTCAAGCATGTATTTTACGCGTAGCAACTATACAATATAGCTACTATACAATATTCAGTGATTGTTAGTATTTTTCCCCTGCTTCATTCTGTGAACTAATTAAGGTGTCAAATGATACTTTTAAGTCATGTACTCTATTGCTGATTCTGTGATGATATTATTTTGTGGTCCCTATTTTTACATTTTTTATCCCGGTCTGTGTCCAATAAAATAAATTCTTTTTTTGAAAATCTTTGATTGTTATAATTCTTCCATTGGACATACCGGCTTCAAAAAATACATTACCTTTCAAAATCCTAAATTGCCCCTTGACTTGTCACTTTCATAATAACATTAAATTGCCGAATCATTCACTCATTTCTTTATCTTATTTATATTTTATTTAATCTCATTTGCATTCAGCCATGTTACTATATTATTGGACACGTCAGTGTACATAACGTTTTAATATTATGTTGTTGTTCTTGTTATTCTTCTCCTTCGTCACGATGAAATCGCTTTTCTCTTCGAATATTGGACCAATTGCTTTAAAATTTTCAGGGGTTAGAGATTGATTTTTTTGCCAGAAGGCTATCACTTTTACTTATTTCAAAAATTCCTGTGGACTCGAAGAGATTCATTTTCATGTGTCAGAATGAAAAATAGCGACACTTTGTGACGTGTCCATATATTTGAGCACAGCTCTCTTGTCCCATGATGAGCTTATATACAGCATATACACAAGGGTTGGGAGCTTAGATGACCTTAATCCGTCCTGCACATCGACCCACACAAAACAATTATCAATCATAGTTAATACTGCTGAAATATTTTCTCTATTGTATCATGCTTATATTAGTGTTGATTTTATTTTTGTGGCAATAAATTTCTCTCTATCTATGTTATTCATATCACAGCGCGCCAACCATCAAACTCTCAACTTCATGTAAAATATCTAATTATAACATTGAAAATGCGTCTCATTTATTTCTTTTTATTGATGTTTCTCCAACCTTTGACCCCAGATAAATTTTTTTTCACTCTAGAAAGATTTTTGATTGCCATTTTTGAAGTGTTTCTACTGATCGTCGCTTGCAAACTGGTTTACATGTTTAAAACCACCATTTATATCGAATATATATTCACGTGACGCTAGCTAATATTAGCCTAGTCCCAGTCTATAGCAGCGTTTTCGGGACCAATTTTTGAGTATTGCAACTGAACTGAAGCTCCTCAGAAGACATAATGACAATCACGTCACTTGATTTACTACTAAATTTTGAAAACACAACTAAAAACTGAGATATAACGCAAAAAACGGGGCAATGTCAACAATCCTACATAAATATCAGTCTGAGAAATGAGAGTAAAGTTGTGAAATGCGTCATAAAAAGTTAACAAATTTAAATTTCTACACTTCTTTTTGACCTTTGTCAACTTACCCGGAAGTTTTTTAACGGCGAACGGTCAAAGGTCGAAAATTTTATAATAAACGAACAGACCTCGGGGATGATTTTTGCTTTTTCAGGGGCGTCCGAGTGTTCGTCCTCTGCAAGATTTGATTCGATTCATTCGGCTGTTGTTGCGTTGGCTGGCAAGGAACTGACTCAAAGCGGAATCTACCAGTATGTTATCCTCAAAAGTTGCCTCCGCCGTTTTGCACAAAGCTACACAACAGGTTTGATACTTTCTCACGTAATTTTAGTAGTGGTGGACTTTGTACCGGTACGGTACCATGGCACTGGCCGTATCGATACCGTACCGGTATTGTGTACGGTACGAATAGGCACCCGTGACCTACAGACCTAACGGCTCAACGGTGCCGGTACTGGTACACTGTTACCGTACGTTACCACACAACTCTCGTCAGCTTGTACTGTACAACAAGAACCAACAAGCTCGTCATTATCCTATCTGCCTAGTCTATTGCTCTCAGGACTGTAAGTTAAGAGTATGGTGCCGAAGAGTCTAAGTGCCTAACTTAGCATTAAATGCTCAATTCAGCAATCACTCCGGTCATATATATTCAAATCGCTTCGAACTTAAAATGGTAGGACATTTAGACATTGCTGTATTGACAGATTAAGGGTGTGATTTCATTGTCTGCAAATTTTGAGAAAAATCCTGATAATTTTTCAGTGAATGTTTCAATGTACTGTATTGCTCTTTACAGATTAATCGCACATTGATACCTAATTACACTAATATGAAACCAAGCTTATTTTTTATCTTTTTTTGTATTTCGAATTAAAAAGTCAAAAAAAAAAACATAAAATGCGGCGGTCTTACTACTTACTGAATACAGCGCGAAACACCGCAAAGATCGCAAAACAGCGCAAAACAGAGGGAAACAGCGCAAAACAGTGTGGAAACAGCGCGAAAGAGCGCAAAACAGAGGGAAACAGTGTGAAGCAGAAAAAATTTTTGCAATGAATTCAGGGCACCTTGTTTTGAGTTGGGAGTACCACGGCAGCAAATTAAAAACACAAACCAACCTATGTAGACAGTAATGCTGTAGTGGCAGGTCTGCCCCTGCTGGTGACACATTTTGGGTACCATAATTTAGAACATTTTCCATATGGATATGGTTGGCTTTAGGGTTAGGGTTAGGTAAAAAGGGACCTCCAGAAGTATGTGCACCAAGGTGGCGCACAACCTGAAAATAGTATGTGTGTGTGTGTAGCGGATTCAGGTTGTGCGACATATTGCTGCACATACTTCTGGAGCATTAAAAAGGTAGATAAAATTTCGCATGACCTATAATCCGGTACATAACCTTGTAAATATGCCGGAGATAGCGCCATAAAACCATGGCGGGAGGCGCCGTGGTTCTTTCGTGGCAGGAGGGGGTAATGACTGCGTCTTCTGTTTTGCGCTCTTCGCGCTGTATTCAGTAAATAGTAAGACCCTAAAATGCGGTATAGAATAAGAAATGATAAAAAAGAGAACTGCACAAATACTTTGTCATAACTTTACACAGAGATCATGTGGATCGCTACAACAATTAAAATGAAACAAATGCGTAACACTGCGAAATTGCACGATTTGCATCCGATCCATTTGTCCTTCTGGTGTGAACCTCCCTTTGGATCATTTCAACATTCGCACGATTCACATAATTCGTCCCATGAAGTTTTATTTTTCCTGTTTTCAATAATTTGACGTTGATTGGGTAAACATAAATAATGCCCCGATGTAATTTCCGGGCCTCCTTGGCGGAGCACCGGACTCATATGATCTTTATGCAGTTCAGAAAGTTGCTGATATGACAGATCGCTGTCGTTAGCGAGTTCTTTATCGTCGGCACGGATGCCATTTCCGACGACCGTCGGTATACTTTCGCAAGCTCTATGACGTGGTTGTGACGTAGTTTTTGCATGGAGGTGGTTAAGAATGACACATGCAAAGATCGTTATGCATCGCCCACTAGAATGACTTGAGGTACAAAACCATACGAGACCCCAGTTCTGTGCTTAACAACTGTATCGTGCAGGCGTGTACCTAACACAGGAACAACCGCGTCTGTTCTTGCAGACATGTTTCAGTTTAGTCTTCATACAGACTTATCCACTAGTCTGGATTCCATGGCAGGTGCATGCCAGAGTACACTAGTGCTATAAAAAATGCACACATGAGGAATACATTTTGCCAGACTGTAATTCGTGATTGCTCACAATTATATTCAATAGTCTTGAAGGGTGGCGGAATGAAACAGCCACTAATAAACAGTGCTGAAAAGTTCTAACATTACAAACTGACTGATTACAAAGAACCTGCACTTTATGGCTTTTTTATTGACTATATAAATTATGTACACCTCAAATATTAAGCCTGACCAATTGCTTGGCAATTTATGCTTTGTGCTATCGGTTAATAAAGAGCAGGGGTGGGCAAACTGCGTCCCTACTAACTTATTGCGGCCCTTGAACGACTTTCAATGCATAAAACAAAAATTGATTTTAAAAGTATTGTCTCCACATGGATTTATGTGATACCAGGTGCAGCTGTACGTCGCTTGTTTTGTAGCAAGTAGCTTCAGTTTCATGTCGTTAACTTGATGAACGCCGCATGGTTGGTTTTAGTTATAAGTGAAGTTTATTTTGATTTTAAAATTTAAAAATGTCTGGGAAACTGAGGGAAGTTTGCCTGAGGAGAACCTGGGATGCGCCACTGCTCAGCTACGCAACATTGCAAAATGTGCAATCTGCACTTCGGAAGCACCATTGATGTGAACAGCTTCTAAAATGCATTACACCGAGAATAAATTTCATACACGCTTGTCAGATAGTCATTTGGACGACGTAATGAGGGGCAACGAAGTTGTCGCTTTGGCCAGGATACAGAAACAACATTTTCCTTTCGGCCAATTGTTGGGTAAATAAAAACAATCTATTGTCGGATAATATATGTAAAAAACCGCCACATACGCGTCTCATTGTGGCAGACCTAAAACACAGCAATCGAAGGTGCAAGTGCGTCATAATTTACAGTTGAAGTTTCATAGCCAGAAATTAATGTGGCCCGCATACTACCGGAATGTGGATATTTGGCCCGCAAGTACATAAAGTTTGCCTACCACTGATATGAGAATTTAAATACTGTGGATTGATTCGCTTAAGAGCAATGTTTATATAGCAGTCACTCCTGATACAGCTATAGTCCCATCGGTGCATTGTAAATAGTTTTATTGTAATACATTTTAAGTGTATTTTATACAAATTAACAAAGTGTTTTTATGTGACAGTTCTGCAAAAGCCTCGGTGCAAGCTTTGTTGGAAGCCGAAATGTCTCCATAAATCAACCACTAAATGCAGAAAAGCAAGGAGCTGCTGAAGTTGCCACAATTTTGGAAGAGAGAATTAGTGGCACAGCTCCATCGGAAGATTTAACAGAAACTGGAAGAGTGCTGGCGATCGGAGATGGTATTGCCCGTGTCCATGGGTTACGCAATATCCAAGCAGAAGAGATGGTGGAATTCAGTAGCGGCCTCAAGGTTTGTATCCCAGATAAGGTTTTAGCCTAATATGGTAAATGGGAAATAAAGTAATCTACACTTAATCTCTGCCATGGATGATTTATCAGAACTAACGATGCTTTTCAATAAAACAAGTCGATAGTTATCTAGAAGAAAAATATTACTGAGAGTCCAGATGAACGAATGAAATCTTTTTTTGCTATTGCCGTTTCATATTATGTATGGGAAGCTCACGAACTCCCAAAAATCTTGCAATAGACCCTTAGAGGTACCCCTGTTCTGTAACACAGATTTGAAGCTTGCATGCAGTCAATTACTATCGGCATTTGACAATTATTCTTGGTATCATTTTAGGGTATGGCTCTCAACTTGGAAAGAGACAATGTCGGTGTTGTAGTTTTTGGTAATGACAGGAATATCAAAGAAGGGGACATTGTTAAACGAACTGGAGCAATTGTAGATGTCCCAGTTGGTGAAGAACTTCTCGGAAGAGTCGTTGATGGATTAGGAAATCCTCTTGATGGCAAGGTGTGTATCTATACTGATTTTGAAGGTTGGGTTAGTTAATAGTTTAGATACAAATCTATCTAACGTGGTAAAGAGTTAGTTTCAAAAGTTATATTGGTTGGTGGGCAATGGATCTTGCAGTTATATTTTCGGTCTATTGCATGTCCTCATCCCCCGTCAATGATTGGTTTGCGGTTATGGTATCAGTCAAATATGCCAATCGGAAGTTTTAAAAGTGATATGATTTTATAGTAATTACATTTGTTATTTCCAGGGTCCTTTGAACACAAAAATCAGAAGAAGAGTAGATGTGAAGGCACCTGGTATTATTTCTCGTATCAGTGTGAGCGAGCCTATGCAAACTGGTTTGAAAGCTATAGATTCACTTGTGCCAATCGGAAGAGGACAGCGTGAACTGATTATTGGAGATAGGCAAACGGGGTAAGTTATGCCCATCGTTGCACTATCAAAATGAAAACACTACAGTATGGAAAAACCTCATCTTTAAAATAATGGAACTGAGATGTATAAATAAAGCCAATTGAAAAATATTAAACTTCTGATATAGTCTTGAAAGTCACCTAGTTGGTGATCACAACCACTTGCTGCTCATTACCATAAGCTTTTCTTTTTTCCAGCAAAACTGCTGTTGCGATTGACACCATTATCAATCAGAAACGATTCAATGAAGGCAAAGATGAAAAGAAAAAATTGTATTGCATCTATGCTGCTATTGGACAAAAACAGTCTACAGTTGCTCAACTTATCAAAAGATTGGAAGATGAAGGTTAGATCAAATCCAATGGTTAATACTTAGAAACGTATCTAAAAAAATGTAGGTCGTTGACAAATAATTGGATATGAATGTGGAAGTGTAACCTGAAAAAGCTAGTTTCGACAACCCTCTATAAGCTCTCCTACTCTTAACTTGATTTTCTTTCGTAATTTTTGCCCTTTTCTCTAATCCCTAAGATGGCGTGCTGGTATAGTCGTCAAATTCTAGGTTTTTCCATGGGAATTTATATGCGTAATGATTTAGTGGCAAATTAGAATCAAACCTCAATACTTTTTTAATTTCTACAGATGCTCTCAAGTATACGGTCTTTGTCGTTGCATCTGCAGCCTATGCTGCTCCTTTGCAATATCTTGCACCTTACTCTGCATGCTCTATAGGAGAATATTTCCGTGATAATGGCAAACATGCATTGATCATATACGATGATTTGTCAAAACAGGTATGTTTTTTTAGCTTTTTCCTTCTTGTGTGTATCTTCTTGTTTTCATCATTTTTATTTATTTTCAGGCTGTTGCATACCGTCAAATGTCTCTATTGCTCAGACGTCCACCGGGTCGTGAGGCTTATCCAGGCGATGTCTTTTACTTGCATTCTCGTCTTCTCGAGAGAGCAGCAAAAATGAATGATGATTTTGGCGGTGGTTCTTTGACTGCTCTTCCTGTCATCGAAACTCAAGCTGGTGACGTATCTGCTTACATTCCAACAAATGTCATTTCAATTACTGATGGACAAGTGAGTCTACTGAGCAATTACTGTCATTATCCAGAAATGTGAAGACTTTGTATTTTTAATATTTTGTAATGTTCTTTATATATTTGTAGCAGTCTGGCCAAGTTTCTTACACTGTTTCTTCTGAATTGATCTTGAAAATCGATGAATGCTGATTGAATTTTAATAATAAATTACCTGTAGATAAAAGCTTTACCTTCATCTCCTTTATTTTAGATATTTTTGGAAACTGAGCTTTTCCACAAGGGTATCAGACCTGCTATCAATGTAGGTTTGTCTGTCAGTCGTGTAGGATCTGCTGCACAAATTAAAGGAATGAAACAGGTAATTACTCAACATTTTTCTTGTTTATTACATTACTTTATTCAATTTTTTACAATACAGGGAAAGGAAATGCTTTTATACCACTACTCATTGTGAATAGCTGTGTTTTATCATTTGTAGCTACAAGATTGTGTAGGGATGGGCAATTTAGAATACCGAATCCCGATAGAAACGAATCCAGAAGATTCAGATAAACGATTTCGGCCCATTCGCAGAGTGTAAATTTTTGTATTCCCAGTTTCAAATTTATTAATCAAATGATTTTAGTTGACGATAAATAAGGCCAACTTTGGGTAGATATAAAACTAACAGAAAATCAAAATTTTGTAATTGAAAATTTCACTCGTACAAAATCATGACTACGACAACACGCTGGCTGATACTTGATTATAATTATTGGTGGTTAAATTTAATAATCTATACCAGTGGTCGGCAACCACCGGGCCGCGGCCCATCGCCGGTCCGCGGAAAGGTTACTGCCGGTCCGCAAAGAGGTGACACAAAAACGGACAAGGCTGTAATAAAACTTCTACAATCTAACTACAAACCCTACGACTAAAAAACAGCACCCAACACAACAGTAAACCAGACAAACACAACGCCAGGGGTCGGCAAAACTGCCGACCAAATGCGGACCTTGAGCTAATTTGTTGCGGCCCTCGATCGACCCGACATTTAATACATAAAACCAAATAAGATTATAAATTTATTGTTGTCTCTACACGGATTTATGTGGTAACAAGTGCTGATGTACGGTGCTTGTTTTGTAATAAGTAGCGTTGGTTGTATATTGTTAGGAGTTAATTTTGATTTTTAAAAATTAAAAATGTCCGGGAAACGGAGCGACGAGGGTCGAGCATTCCAAAGTGCTTGGACGGAAAAATATTTTTCTTTCTTGCGCATTCCAAAACCGGTTTGCTCGATATGCCTAGACAGCATCGCAGTTAAGGGTTTTAATTTAAATTTGTTACGAAACAAGTCGTCGAATTCGACCCAGAGACCCGGTACTGCTTCACAGCATATCTGTCCGCTAGTGCAAAAGGTGTAATGTGTCGGAAGAATATATGGCCTTGAGCAACTTTATCTAAAATGCATTACACTTAGAATGAATTTCGTACTCGCCTGTCAGAGCATCAATTGGACGACAAGTTGCCATAAAAACATCATCTTTCACATTGATAATAAGTAAATAAAAAACAATGTATTGTTGGAAAAAACGCCACATACACATCCCATTGTGGCTTTCAACACAGCAATACAAGGGCAACAATGCGAATGCACCATTCAATTAATGTAGCGATTGTTCGCAGGCGGAAATAGGAATATTGCGGCCCGCGCGCTACCGGAAATGTGTATATTTTGCCCGCAAGTACATGAAGTTTGCCGACCACCGCACAACACTATTGAGCAGCATGTCTGACTTCATAAACAATTGCCATGTCAGTATGTCGCAATATTGCTGGGTCAATTGTTTCTCTACGCTCGTATAAGAATGCCTCTCATCAGTCCGAATAAGATCTCCATAACAAAATGATACAGGAATTGTTAACTTTCCCGAAATCTTATCAATATTAATAACTACAAAAACGAAATATCGAAGTAGGGTGGATGTAAGAAACACGTTACGTGTGTCAATGTCGACCATATCTCGAATATGGGAACAGTTAATGGCCGTCAAACAAATAAAGATATCGCGTTAAATAGCATCACCATCGTGTTTAGTATATTGTCAACATAAATTTCATAATGCGTTCAATGTATTGCATAGGCTTAGTTCGTTTGTTTATAGGTGGTCCGCCAAGATTTTGGTCAGGCTTTACCGGTCCGTCATTTGAAAAAGGTTGCCGACCACTGATCTATACCAATAATTAATACATTCCCTACGAAGTGCAGTACCTGCTGCTACCGCACAGGTTGCAGTGTCATCACGCTAATTCTGCATGTAATTCTCAGCGAGTATGTTTCAGTGCACTAGACGGTGTAGGCACTCGTACATTCAAATTATTAAATGCTTTTTCATATTGATTTCTGTATCCCACCGTTTACTATTAATAAGGTATATAAAAATTGTCGTAACGATCTATGTAGCATGTAGGTATTTAGGGGTCACATAAATTTTAAATAGTTCACAAAGGCAAAAAAAGGTCAATTCCTAAATTTCATTGTCTTAAGATTTAAATGTCCATTTGGTATAAAATAAAATGCAATGCTGAGGACATTTTCAATTAAATACCGGTAGTCTACAAAGATAGTAACGCATTTAGATTACAATTTTGCTGCTTTTTTAAAATATTATTCAAGCAATCTGGTGGGGAATTCCCACTATTTAAATACCGGTAACTTTAAAAATAGAATAGGATTCTGGATTCAATTTTAATAAGTATTCTAAAATATTCTAGAATAGGAAATTATTCTACTTTGTCAATCTAAAGACTGTTCATATGTTCAGGTATCTGGAACCATGAAGCTGGATCTTGCCCAATATCGTGAGGTCGCTGCATTCGCACAGTTCGGAAGTGACATGGACGCCGCTACTCAACAACTGTTAAATCGTGGTGTCAGACTTACAGAACTGCTGAAACAAATTCAATACTGTAAGTATACTGGCTACTGAATGGTCAGTAATTTAGCTGCTGCCCTGTTGCAAGTGTTAGATTGCTTTGCTATCAACTATAAAATTCTTTTGCAGCACCTATGGATATTGCTGAACAGATTGTTGTAATTTTCTGCGGTGTAAGAGGTTTCTTGGACAAAATTGATCCAACTAGAATAACTGAATACGAAGAACAATTTTTAGTCCACATGCGAACCAACCATGCCGGTTTGGTAGATACTATTCGGTAAGTAAAATTTATAGTAACAAGGCAGTTAGTTGGTTGAAAGGATAATTTACAGTACGAAAGTTGTTGATTGTTCAAATGTGTACAAATATAAATGGTATTTCACAATGTTATTTTGAATATTCCAAGAATAAAATTCTCTTGTAGCTTGATTTACATAAACTGATTTATGGCACTCATGGACGGTGTGAACTGATGCACTTCCTTTGTTTAGACCAGCTCAGACTAGGCCTCCCTAAGGACCCGCCGTGTATCGGTTCTCTGGGCCACTAGCAAAAGCCTTTTAACATTTTTGCTAGGAGTGTGTGAAGCCGTGAACTAATTAGATTGGCTGATTTGTTTATTTCTCGATTTCAATGCTTTTTTCTTTTACTTTCATTTGTTGGCTTTTTGTTATTGAACGTTGCACATGAAGTGACTGGAAACTAAGCAAAAGTGTATATTTTTATAAAAGAGCAGGGAGCCACAAATTCAAAAGTCTTTGAGAGTCTGGCCACAGACCATAGAAAGTTACAGAGGAATTGGTTTTAGCTTTTGAGTTAAATAGCTTTTTTCAGTTTCTGGTATATCAAGATCGATAACACTAATCTCAAATTCCTTTTTCAGTTCTGAGGCTATGTTATCAGAGGACACCGAAACTAAATTGAAAGAAATTGTGCTCAACTTCGTCAAAACCTTCCAATCGACCGCCACGTAACTTCAGCAACAACATTATTCTCCCTTTTCTGTCTTAGTGAAAATTTAGGTTAGGTCAGTCCCATCCTTTTGGTTTCAAATCTTTATTTATGAAGTTGTCCTTTACAGTCGATGACTAAGTTCAGCAAAATATTTTTGGTTTACCTCCAGAGGTCATATGATTCTGGCTATGCTTTTTTTTTTCTGTGTTCCATCTGTTGTTGTTGAATTCCACTGGCGTATTCGATTGTTGTGACCTTTCTAAAATTTAATAAAGAATATTACGTTGAATCTTCGGATTATTTATGTGGGATTTCGTAGTATGTTGGTGGTATGTAATTATCTATTCTAATTCTATAAATAGGATCGATTTCAAGCTTTTGAGTCGGTAGTCGTAGGAGCTTGGTACAGGTAACTTGAAGCTGAAACACATGTTGGGGGATCCTTATGCTGGCAGATGAAGTTTGTAATTTCTTATGATGGCAATACTTCATATTACATTACTATGACAAAAAACTGCACTCTTGCGTTCTGATGACTGTTGCACAGTGACAATACCAGTGGCGGCGCGTCAATAGGGCCAACCGGGGCAATGCCCCGGTTGTTTTTTCGGTATAATAAAAAATATTCGAAAAATTCCTCAATATCGGTTGCACAGACTGTCTACACTAGCCATATTCTCCCGACATGGTTCATTTTTCGCTCGCAAAGCCTTCGCCGAACGTCGACGGGGCGACACCGATTTTGCCCCGATTGCTCATTGTATATCGTATTCTCTCTTTTATCTTCCACTCGCCGCGTTTGTCTCGTTTGTTTTCTGTTTCTTTTGCTAAATCATCGGGGCTAGCCCCGAAATTATGACGACACAATGCCGACGTTTCTTACAACAACGTGTTGACATATTCCGGCATTCCTTGTCGTTCGTTGGTTGCTTGAAGAGTTGATAGTTTCCTCGCCTTCGTTTTTGTCGCTTGTTTCGCTATTTGAATCAGTTAGAGACCTTTAGTCCATTTGCTTTCGATTTTCCACATTCCTTTTGAGATCCTCACTTCTTTCCGGCTTCGCATTTCTTAGCCTTGGACCTCATAATGAATAAGGTTGATGCACTACTTCGCACTCCGTTTTCGCAGCTGCCGCTGGAACAAAAATTAGAGGTACAACGTCTTGGGCCTTATCAACCAAAAAATTGTTCACTGGAACAATCCCATGACGGAGGAAAGCGTCGGCGTACATTCTGCGCAGAAACTTGGTATAAAAAACACGAATGGTTGTGTTACAGCGAGGACAAAAATGCACTTTTTTGTTTCTATTGCATACTTTTTGCTATCGCCCGTGACTCACGTTGGTGTAAATTTGGTTTTAGAGATCTTAAACATCTTTCCGAGCGTGCCAGGGATCATCAATCTTCTATGGAGCATCTGGACAATGCAGTAAAATACCGAACATTCGGAAATGTTAATATTGCAGCACAGTTGGATGAAGGACGCGCGGTTTCTATTCGTCGGCACAACCAAAACGTCGAGAAAAACCGCCATGTTCTCGGTAGATTGATAGATGTTTTGAAGTTCATTGGTTGTCACGAGCTGTCCCTCCGTGGGCACGATGAACGGGCTGGCTCTTCTAATAGAGGGGTATTTTTGGATATGGTGGAATACACCGCATCCCTAGATACAGTATTGAGAGATCATCTTGATGCCGCAACTGTTTCGAAAGGGACATCTAAGGATATCCGAAATGATTTGCTCGACTCAATGTATAAAATTTATTTACAACATTTGGCTCTGGAAATTGAGAATTGCCAGTTCCTTTCGATTCAGTCTGACGAGACAACTGACATCACGTGCGTTTCCCAACTGGCTGTGATTTTTCGGTTTGTGAAAGATGGTAAACCTACCGAGAGATTTCACAGCTTTGTACCAATCGTTGATCGCACGGCTTGCGGGATATCGGCTGTACTGAAAGAAGTGTTACAGCCTTACAACGCGAAGTCAAAATTGATAGCTCAAACTTATGACGGCGCGGCAGTCATGCGTGGGTCGAAACATGGTGTTCAAGTTTATTTAAAAGAAGATTTTCCTCATGCGCATTTTTTACATTGTTATGCACACCAATTTAACCTCGTTATTAAAAATATGTGTCTTGATACCCCTCTCGTCCGTATATTTTTTGCAAATGTTTCGGGGTTTTCTTCATTTTTTTCCGTTTCGCCGAAGCGCTCTGACCTCCTTCGCCAGATATGTAGCCGCCGTCTCCCAGCTTGTGCACCAACACGTTGGAACTTCCAATCACGCGTGGTGCAGGGCGTGTCCGAAATTAGGTCTGAGCTCATTGAGTGTTTCAATGGCATTCAGAGCTCTCCGGTTTGGGACGAACGCTCTGTGAGGGAGGCGGCAGGTCTAAAGCGTCTGCTAGAAGATGGTGAGTTTTCATTTTTTCTCGCGTTTTTCTCCACAATATTCTATCACGTGGATGTATTATACGGCGCATTGCAGTCAAGGCTAATGGATGGAGCGTCTGTGCAGTCGTGTATTTCAGACTTCTGCGATGCTGTATCTCGTATCCGGGAAACAATAAAATACGACGACACATGGAGTGCTTCTTTACGCCGCGGGCAAACAACGCAGCGTTTGATTTTGTCTGCAAAGGAATGCTGTGACATTCTGGTGAATCAAATAGGCGATCGTCTGCGCACTGAACACCTTGCCGCGTTCTCTTTGATGAACCCCAAAAATTTTTCAAAATTTGCACGTCAATTTCCCATCCATTTGTTGGCTACTATCTACAAATTTTACCCCATGATAAACGTGGGTAAATTGGAAAATGAATTGCGATGTATATACACCAATCAAACTTTTTTGAACATCACATCAACTTGCGCGCTCTATGGGTTCCTCATAGATAACACTCTAGTAACTACCTTTGCGGCGTCTGCAAAATTTCTGGACATCATTTTGACGACGCCTATTTCTTCCGCCGACGCAGAGCGAACATTCAGCACGCTGAAGCGTGTCAAAACGTATCTCAGAAAACAATGAAGCAAGATAGATTAAATTCCTTGGCTGTTTTATCCATTCACAGAGACGTTATTTCTGGGATGCATGACTTTAATCAGCGCGTTATTGAGCATTTTTCTTCCAGGAAACCGCGGCGTGTTGCATATATGTTCAAGCAGTAGAAGTCTAGCAGCATATATATCTATGAGTGAGCGACGCATGTCCTTATCTTTGCATTACCTTTCCTTTCTTCATAGTAATGTTTTAAACCTTATTTTAGGTTTTGTCTGCTTTCCCGAAGTTTCTGTTAATATGTCATTGTATTTATCTGGGTAAATATTGCCTTTCCTTTTGAAAGAGGTTTCAAAATAAACTATGTCTATATTTATTAATCCCTTGACTTGGACCGGTTTTAAAGACACTTTCTTATCGTTAAAAATTGTCGCTTTTGCCGATTGGTTGTTACCGATGGAATGGTTTTTATACTCATAAAATGATGGGAGAACTTACAGCGCTCATCCTGTCCCCGTAGATGGGGGTGACTTGGTCCCGCAGTAGCTTGCCCCGGTTGTCAAAATGACCACGCGCCGCCACTGGACAATACGATCGTCAAATAATAATGTCATCCCTAACTCCGAATTCGAGACCTTCCTAAATGCAATTTGAACAGTTTTATCTATATTAATGACTGTTAATCATTTGGAAAATTACACAAAAAATCTCTCAGAGTTAAGACTGATGATAATGGAATTAATATAGCACCTACAGGGTTTACATACCTTATTAAAGTAAATAAAGTTAAGCAATTTTCAACGTTCGACAAATTTCGAAAACCCAATTTTAAGGACTCTAAATTTTTTGACAAGTTGATGGAGCCGTGATCTCCTTTTATAACTCTGAAAATATAGTTATGCAAATATGCCGCGGAAATAAATCACAGCCGACATGGAAGTATATTTAAACGCGTCGAACCGGGAGTGGTTTTAACATAGCAGAGTTTTTGATTGAAAATATATTTATTTCATCTGAGTCGAGATGGTCTGTGCGCCGCAGCAATGAACTTACGGAAAAAATCGACAATTGTTTGCAATTTTTGTTTTTTTATCCTTCGTTGCTATCGTGACCGCGCATAACTGGTAATTTTTGCATTTCTTGCAATTGAATAATGAAATATTATATATATACTATCTATCGAGGAAATTATCGTTATCCCGGTGTCGTTGAGAATATTGTTCATTTTAAGTTGGCGGCAGTAATTTATGAGCTGAGCAAAAAGCATCACAAACCGATGAGAAATATTTAACCTTGTTCAAATCAGCGCCGACTTGAAGAATAAAACAAGATTTTCGGTCTTCATCGTCCGATTGAATTTGGAAATCAAGTTTGCTCCTTTAACTATTTTTATCGTCTCGTTAACGAAGAATATGTAATAACATCGGCGTTTTTTCTAAATGAACTCAGTTTCACGAGCAAAATAAAAACTAGAATATCGGTTGGAAACCGAAGACTTATCGATCGAAGATTTGGGGATCCCCCAAAACAGTGGTCTAACTCCATAGTGACACCGTGTGTCCCAGCACTAATTAATTAATAACTCGCTAATTATAAGACATAATCCATCCAAAATCACTAGGCTTCTGATCCGAGCTATGATGAATGCACATGCAAAATTTGGAGCAGAATCAACCTCGCTATCGTGAGATATCGCGTGCATCTAACACATAAACAGACATACAAATACCTATCAACATACTTACCGATCTTAAGATCGATAAGTAATTAATCGACACGTAGGCTACGTGGTGGCACAAGACTTAAACTAAGGGTCGGCGAGTTTAAAACTGAACGGATGATACTTTTTATAATAAAAATCAAGCAGTGATAACCCTACATCTCTCGAATAGAATATAGATTTCATTCTTCATTGCATTGCGTCTCAAAAAATTCCATTTGAATATTTTCGGCGCCATTGAGCCCTTTGCACTTAGCATAAACTTTTCTGCGTTTTGTTGCCATTTGGGTATTATAATTAAATAATAGGCTTATTGAACGAGTAATTGTGAATTATATACTTGTTAGGTTATAATATATATAATTTAGTCTACACGTGTCTTATAATAAATTCTGTTACGTAAAGAATATAAATAATTGTCAAAACAGCTGTTTTATTACTATAATTCAGTGAAGCGTCGCGGGCCGGATTATATATATTACTCCGTGGGCCGTCGGTTGCCGACCCCTGACTTAAAGGAATAGTTGTGAGATAGGATGAAGTGTCAGAATTTAGCTAATTAACGATGTCGGCGGGCTAAAGGACACTCACGCTTGCGAAAAACAGCGGGAATTTATAGCCAAAATTAGCCCAGTCAAGTGTGTGCGTCATTAACTATGATTTTACTGTAGGATTTGAACCTTTCACTGGGCGCCCAGTTTCTCCTTTTTCGGTACTCGCCAAGATACACAGCAATACATGAGTATGAATACTGTAATTGCAAGGGAACCACAAATTTGAATCACACTAAACGTGCCATTTGATTTATAAACATCCGCTTTACTGTGATATATAATATTATCAAAGCGCAATTTCTATTCCCTTGGATTTCGGAAACGTGCATGAAATTTAGGTTTTGTGGGATTTCAGAATATATTAACTACAGTATTAGGAATTTCTGATTCGAAAACATTTTTTTAGAATGTATTCGAAATGGACAAGTATTCGGTAATGGCCACCCCTGTCTATAGGGCAGGGCAGTAAAAGAGGTGAAATTTCCTACGACTGATGATAAAACATTTCCGAAACCGTCAATAGTTTCACAAATGCACCAAATCTGAGAAAGAAATTCAACTACGTCGAAATATTATTCCTCAGTGCTGTACAAAACCATAATTTAGTTTTTGGCCAAATGATCTATCGGCCATTTTCAACGTACTTGACACCCCGAAAACCCAATTTTGCTGTTTCAGGGGATTAGTCGTCAACCACATTACTCTCCCACCTCCCGAAACTCCGCCAATAAACTATATATATATATATACTATACAACACTGGTAAAGCCCAGAATGATATCATGAAATAAATTCCAAACGATGTGATAAAAATTGATTAATAAGAATTAGAATGAAAGGCTGAATGGGAATTACCCAGTGAGAATATCGAGAATACTGAGCTCAATTAATTAATGCTAATTCTCGTGAAAGCATCTATCGCAAAAGACACGAAAATTTTAAACACAGTGGGAAATATTCCCAACCTTCGGCTATACTATAGCCACCGCGAAGAAGCAATAGTTCCCGAAATTAAGTCCGATGCAGCAAGACTCAGAATCAAAATACTCGATTTTTTCCCGAAATTAAGTCCGATGCAGCAAGACTCAGAATCAAAATACTTGATTTTTTCTTCATGTATCGTTGTGATGAGTTCGCAAAATATTTCTAACTGTACTATATAGCCCAAGTATCCCAATTCCCACTGAAATTGCTACCTACATGAAGATTAAGAACTTTAATCAAGTGTTGTTTCATCAAAATTTCCCAAGCAGCCAAGTCTTGTGTCTGGCAAGCCAAATATTCACAGTAATAAAAAGATTGATTATAGGTGACTTTGAAAAAACTGTAGTCTTTAAAAACGAATGGCAACTAGAAGTTGTGATGGCAAGCAGGAGCATTTCAAGTCATGGATAATTATGTATATATATATAATTACCATTCTCATATTCCCACCAATATCTTTTTGTGGAAATTAAGGAACGAAAAAACTTTTTCTTGAGCTTCGTTTTAGTCTAACTTTACCCGTTGTTCAAATGTTGCAGGGGATCCGAATACGGTCAAATTATTATTGTTCGTCACGTTTCTGAAATTCATATTCTATAATTATACTACTGTATTTTTTTGGTAAATATGAAAATACTAATTAATTATCGTAACTACACTGTGAAACATCCACGCTGAAATGAATTTATTTGCATCTATTGGCATTGATCAAATGTTTTATCGTTTTGGAACAGTAATCTGTTGTACAAAGGTGTTTATTATTATCAATGGTTTAACTTTGAGAGGGGTGTTTTCTTAAAATTCCAACAAAATATGGATTAGTTCGGCATTTTTAAGCTTTTATAATATCAATTCTAGATATCCATTACAATATTAACGAAAAATTCTGATGAACATGCATGTTTTCGGATTATCGTTGTCCGCCATTTTATCACTGAACTATTTTCCACGATCAGATGCATTCTATCGGCCAAAGGTCAACGTCTGAAGGTTTTTATGCAAGCATAGTTACTCAAACCGTGTACGTGCAAAATGTCCAGTATGTGTCAATATGGATCTATAACTTCAGTTGACGTCAATTTGAAATTGCAAACTTCCAATACCTGAGTTTCATTTATTGTTTCATTCTTATCGAACATCAATTCATTAGTGAAATTCCATGACTTGACGTACGTCTTAAAATAGCTAAGACTACAAGAATGAGAGCATTGTCATCAAACCTTGCACGTATACCACAGAGTAATATGTGAATATTGAGTATTTGGGTTAGCTATATTTTTACGCGCCTAAAAACACAGCCTGTAAAGGTTTTTAGGTTTGCTCATCGTAAATTCACTTGAATAGCGCACTGTGTTGAATAAATGAGTAAACATGATAAAAATGCACTTCGTGGGAGCAACTGTCATATTTCTTTATAGCAAATGTGTGTACTTAAGATTTTGTGTACAAAAAATCGTTTGTTATGAATATTTTCATTCAGGTGTTCTCAAGTGATTCAATTCTCAAAGAATTGGCAACAACTCTTTAAGATACACATTCCATAAGAAGATAAGTAAAATTTATCTTCATATTTAATATATACCTTTTCATAAATTTATTCTATTTGGAATACATTAATTTAAACTTGTTTTCCTATTATATTTTCTAATCCTCCTATTATATGGTCATAGGTCATTTATAAATTTTCAGTGATGAAAAAGAAAAGAGTAGTTAAGTGTGTAAAAAATTTCGAAAAGACAATTATAAAGCGTGTATCATGCAACACCGTCATGTTTGGTCTTGCAAAAAACTGCAAGACTCTAGTAATATTTTTTACAAGAACTGGAAAATCTTAGTAAACCACGAAATATTGTAAACTACAAGAGTTCTTTCCGGTGATAGCAACAAACAATCGTTTGTGTTATGACAAAGTCCTCTGAAATCTACGTCACTGTCAGTTGTAGGTGAATTTCAGAAGACGTCATTCTGAACTGACGTTATTAATATTGCTGAGCCGGAAAAAGTGCTAACAAACAATAAGTAAGATCACTAATTTATGTCACAGATACTTGGATGACTTCCCTCTATCTATCCTAGATTCATTGCTTAGAATCTATTCACCGGATACACGGAAGGTGGACTGTGCTGCTAATTTTAGATTTGAAACAAATCGACAAAGTTCATATATTTTATACTTTATTCAAATAATGCAATCCCAACAATAAAAAACACTATGTATATTAGCAATGAAAAATTGTGATCATCAGAAATAACTGATGCATAAATGTTCAGAAACAATATTCAGAAACAATCATTTAATCTCAAATTTGAGAGCAGTTCCAATTAATTCGGAATGAATAAGAGAATCTTCATTAAAAACACATAAAAGTGATGTGGGTATAAATTAAATCGTTAGCAACCAGTCTGAAACTAAGACAGAAAATATTCAAAATGGTGATAAATACGTTACCCCCAATAGTTATTTCGCGACTACCAGGGAATATAATTTATGACAATGAAATTACGAGATTAATATTTCCAATTTTTATCTATATTGCATAAAATATTAAAGAATGATATTATTTTAACAGCAATGTTAAACTCAAATTAAAAAAAAATGTAATATATACAATCTGAAAAATGTGTTTTGATATGATATGAAGACCAGTGGTAGAATTCACGGGTAGCGAGAACCTGTTCTTGGAATTTTGTGGTAATCACTTAACCCGTTATTGCTTTATAGAGCTATAAGATCGACATGGTTGCTGAAATGAGGGAACCTGTTGTTAGTGAAGTTGATACTAATGAGAGTTCATTTTTGACATTTTGAATCTCATCACTGATTTTAACGCAGTTTAGAGTGATTGCAAACCTATAGGCAGTTCTGTTGTTATGTTGTATGTGAATATTGAATAACATTTTGAGCATGACAAAAGCTGTCATTTTCTATGGTTGACAAGGGCAAACAAATAGTTTGGAAACACATCATGTTATAGGTTTGATTGCAGACACACTCGCTATGTACATTACGACATTTTAAGGGATTTCGCTGTTAAATTCGACCTTAATTACCTTTATCTAGTTTTATATATTCTGCCAAACCAGGTTGTCCCGAACATTTGTTCGTGACAATTTTCAAACTAAAAATCTACTAGTCTGCGAAAGCAAATAAGATTACAAATTTAGATATATACTGAGATAATAAAAAAAATACTAAAAACACATCACATACAAAAACGTAACAAATTATTGAAGGAACATTGCATAGACATAGAACGAAATCTCAAAAGCAATAAGTATAATTTTCTTTGGAGTAAAGATAAAAGAAATCTGAACTAAAACAGTACGTATGAAAAACATTTTCCAGTACGCAATTCTTATATCGCTTGTTTTCGTAAATTTATACACATATATTTTACATTGGAATTTATCTTCATATAGCGTTTTATACACCATTGTATATATTAAAATATCTATATAAGAACAGTGGATTATGAAAATAGCCGTCAGCTGTCACCCCTCAGTTTGAGTTTAATGCACAATATTGAGCGAAGACTTGCGTACGAGCTAAATAGTAAGCAATAATGTGGTGTTTTTTCCGAACTACGAAAAAGCGGCTTTTATAGCGGCAAAATAAAATCACTGATACATAACAAACATTTTACTTACCACTTTCATGTATTTGATAAAAAAAAGTTACACGGGAGGATTTTCGGCTCATATGTTGGAAAACACTGGTCTAGATTATGATTGATAACGTTTTAAATTTCGTCACTTCGGTCCGTTTCCGTAACTTTTTGTTCCGTTTGTGATAATGGTACTTCCTACGTACAATCCAGCTTCGTTTGGAGTTGAGTGAGATACACGAGATGGAGTTTGAGACACGGGAGCCCTTTTTCCACAACATGTCCTGAAATATCGAATGTAAGTTGTATATAACATATTACATATCAGAATAAGAGATTAAAGTAACAGTCAATAAATCTAAGTAATTGTCTTGTGGATCTAGGTAATCTCTGAAAGTTGTACAATTAGATGCTGGTATGCAAATACGACATTATATTTTTATAACTTTGGTTGGAAGAATTAATGCGTTTCATGTAATATATATATATATATATACATGCATATACGCCTTTGCGTGTTTCGGTACTAAAACACTTTACATTCTTCATTGATTATTTATCGTAAATACAGTTTATTCAGAAATAACATCATGCCAATTAGGCGGAGCTACAGAAGTAAGTGCACCAAGATGGCGCACAGTACCAGGTTAGGGTTGAGGTTGTGCGCCATCTTGGTTAATTCGAGAGCGACAATTAGGCTACTACGTGTTTTTTGAAGACGAACCTTTGTTATAAGCAATGCGGGATTTCCCAAATGGGAATGGACTTTTTATTAAGCCTATAATAGATTCCAAGAAAATGTATGACTGACATTAAACCAAGGTTTGGAAAGTCAACATGACAAGCTGATGAATAGACACAAAGATTTGGTTGGTCATTGATACTTTTAATAAAAAAACATTTTTATGAAATTCGAAATTTTTATTAAAGGTTTTGTGGGCCTAAAATTTCTTTTAACGCTAAAATGTGTCAAAAGAAAATAGAGAATGAGAATCGCTGATCTAGAGTATTATACAAGTCCTGACATAAAACTCACCAGACGAGTGCTAAAACCTCTTTTGATGCCTTTCTCATTTTGTTAGACGATACATTGTAAGCGACAGGATTCATGCATTCTGAAAATCTCAGACAGAAATAAGCAGCAACGCCCATCCAGTAATCAAGTCTAAAACCAGAAAATAATTATTTTATACATACATACGCAAACCATATTTTCGTATATCTTTGGCAATTGAATGAAAACTTAAAGATTAGGATTTTTAAATAAAATAACGAATATTACATTTTACAACATTTATCAGTGAAAATGAAATCGATTACTCAAAGCTCTTAAGTGGTTCTTTTTATGTAAAAAACGCAATCGCGGAAATACCTAGCAATCAATTTTTAAAATAAAGCGTAATTGGTTAGTATAGCTATAATTGTTGATATTAATTTATTAAAGCCTATCCCAATATATTATAAAGTTGGACCCTCCACGTACAAGATTAGATCGCAAAACTGCTTCAACTGTCATAACTAAATGTAACATTTTTTAAATGCAAAAAGATATAATAATCGCATTAAAGCAATATGGAGCAATACCGTCAACAATCAATCGATCGTATCCAAAATTCTCATTTGCCATTTTCAAGTCAAATTATACTTTTGAGTATTCAAATCAACCTTTTGGTCATTGGAGACATATTCAAATAACAAACAATTATCACACGCGACAACGTTTAAATTAGTTTCCGGCACCAGTGCAGCAATGCTTGATCACTTTTGTGTCAGCGGATTACTCTACGAATAATTAAAGTTATTTGGAGCATGACAAAATGCATAACGAGGTCAGCGCGTTGGTAAAATAACGTTGGAATTCCAGGTCAAAAATCTCCGTTTGAAGATCTTGAATTTTAGACCATACCTCAGAAAAGCATTGGCGCTCTGAGAATGTAAAAGATTGGATTTCCATTGCCAGGCCGGAAAGCTTTCAGACCTCAGAAATACAAGAAATCTGGTTGCATAGCTACGCTCACAGATCAAACATTAATACACCGGCGATCTTTTGACGACGAGATGTAAAAATTATTTTCAGCGAATACTTACGATTTATCTTTGTCTGATACTCGAATAGTCCACATCATGTATGACGTCATCGGGATATATCCAATCATGAACGACGCAGCAATCATAGCTAATTGCGCCACTGCTTTTTTCTCTGTAAAATGTAGGAGATTTTCATGAATTATCGGCGAATATGAGGTTTAAATCAATAGTTCATTAATATGTTTATACTAGAGTTAAATATGAGATATATAGGCCTTCACCCAATGTTTGAATAATTTGGCGAAATGGTGAAATGCTGAATGACGTTTGACCAATTATGAAGCAAAGTAAGTGTGACACCTACATATGGTCGAAGAAACGCCGGTAAAGCTAAGAGACATATTATATGTCATAAAAATATTTTCTATCGACAAAAGTTTGCAAATATGTTGCTGCATTCAGAATTATTTATTTTTTTAAAAACTTGCCTTTAATTTTTCTTAACTCGCTTTTGAATGTTTTGTTGAAGAAAAGCTCTTTTACAATCAACATCGACATTACGAACAGAATTGCCATTGGAAACAACATGAACATCGTTGAAGAAAATGTATAATACATTTTGAATTTTGCGATTCTGTAAAAAGGAAATTCAGCTTTGTGAGCTCTGGTTTTAGTGCAACAAATAATGTTGGAGTGCGTCCATATTAAGAATTAAGATGTGTAAAACCCAAAATCCTCTCTCTTATAGGACGAGGTATCTGAGTAACGGGATGTCATGTTCAGCCAACTAAATTCTTACGGTCTGACTTTAAATTTGTAAAAAAGCTGTTTTATTCTATATATTGTTTTTGAAACCAACCGTGATATTATGCAAACTCCCGCAACAAAACTGGAAACCCGACAGAAGTAAGAGATTACACTAACTGTAATATACGTGCGCGGTTTCGAGTTGAAATGTGAGTTTTCGTACGAAACCGTGGCATAACAACGTTTCGTGTCGTGCTATGTCACGAATCACGGTGTATGTATCGACGGCGGATTTGTTTAAACGAAATTCCAATAAATAAACTTGATAAACGTGATTTGCAAATCTTTTCCTCTGATATGCAGTTTTCAAAATCTAGCGTATTTCTTTGACATATTTACTTCTATAAAAATAACATACTAACATACTCTGATTAAAACACGCGCTGCAATCTAGCAATTGCGTTAATTTTTGCCATCACGAAACAATATTATGTGGTCAGTTTTGCATGTGGTGTTACTCATTCAATATAATTTTGAGATGACAAGGTTTCTTATATTGTTTGCTTATAACGAAATCGAAATTCCGCAACACAGTTCTGAAATTATCAACGATGTGGTTTCCCATGTGCAACTAGAATGAATGCACGCAATATACAAATTTTTGACTAATGTTATCAACAGAAAATTATGACTATGTTCAATTTGGCCAAGTGTAAAATTCATTATTTTTTACTTTTTCTTTGTTATTTTAATTCGATAAAACATGTTAATTAAATGTTCATTCACACGAACTTAAATATATAGTTCGTCGTCATAATTGAGTTGAAAATAGCAATTATGCTTGGCTGTTTCCTGCTTTCAAATCAATTAATTAACAACATGGTGATGATATCAATTCTAATTAATATTTCATTAGATCCACCGCTTGTTAATGGTAATATAGATTGCTTAATTGGTCCGGAAATAGGAATACGCTTTAGTAGTATTCAATTAAATTTTTTAACGCATCTCTATGAATTTTTTATTTACTCTATACGCACACGGTATACTATATGCACTCACAGGAAAAAAAAACATGTTGTACATTATATACATCTGTGTTAACATTTGTCGTTAAAATTATTAAATCAATATTTTTGTCACAAAATGGGGAAATTAACAATAAAGATCTGAAAGCACGCCGCCTAAGCAAATGTTACCTATATACTGTGGCGTTAAAATTTAGCTAACCTGATACTTTAAACCAAACGTATTTTTACTTGACACCTCCTACCTAGACTGACAGGATTTACGTTTAAAAAGAAATTGAATGAAATTGTGAAGCATGGAAGGCGGGTACATATCAATTTCACACTTGACAACATAGAGTAGGCAGCCCAAGAAAAAAAGTATTTCTCTTGAGAGCTTTACTATACTATACTATAGAGTTTTTCCTTAAAACTAAAAAAAGTAAAACTGCGAAAAGTTCGAATAATGCTTTAGTCTACCTATCATCCGACTAACTGGTCATAACCATATGTGGACCGTAACTCCGAGGTTGAAGCTCTGATCTGGTAAACTAGAGGTCGCGAGTTCGTCTCTCATTGGTGCCCTTTTGTCAGGAAACGGGCAACCCCGTTAGCTATATATGAGGAACACGTCCAATGGGCCATTAGGATTATATGTCTCCTCATTCCCAACTATAATGGGGCCTAATGAATTGTGAGATTACGCGCATACTCTGAGAAAGAAATAGGGATAACTCACCCATCATCAACGAATTTTATGGAGCACATTGGCCAGTGAGAGTAGACACCCCCATCCTGTGGCTTCTCCACTGATTCATAGAACAGACTGTAGACAAATCCTCCGAATATAATACTGATCACCCATATTGTGCAGACCCATATTGTGATTGTTCTGAAGTATTGTGTTTACGGAATAGTTAAAAATAATTCTTTTAAAGTCAACATCAACATTTGTAAATATTAAAATTCATAAAATTAGACAAAAAAAAGATATTGTGATTGCCATCACACGATCTTATGTGCACACAGTTTTCCGGGAAAAACAAATCGAGGGATTTTGAACAAATGTAAGTTTCAAAACTCAACATTTATTTTTGATATTCAATTCTAGATGGATATATTACTCTATCATTACGTATGACCTAATACATGGCAAAACCTCGCCATGGCGTCAATTCATTTTGAGTTTTTGAACGCTTTCACTTAAAATCATAAGTTTTGCATATATTGAATGCTGACGTAAGTCACTTAACTATATATTGCGTGTAAATTGATTGTAAACTCCGCATATAAAACTTTAAAATGCCAGTAACAAACAAAAAGCAACCTGATCTTGGTGGTTCCCATGCGGTGTGGCCATCTCACCAAAATGAATCTCCAGATGGCAAACGATGCAATATGCATTGCTGTGCAATAGGAAGTAGTTTCGTCTATAACCCAATATAGCTTACACGCGAATTGTCCCAATTCCCATGGATTGAAACCCCAGGTTCTGAAAATAACAAAATGCAATAAAACGTTAATGTCTTCGAAAAACTTAGGTGAAAATTCATTCTCAGTTTATGCCGATTGGCGCAATTACATTTAAACGGTAATAATGCCGATAAAATAGAGGATTCACGAGTCATGCACTGAGGTAAATGTAATACGTGCGCATTGCAACGTTTGAACTCTATTCCGAAGAGTGGGCACTTCAATAGATTACTCATTTGCTGCAATGTACATCAGCATTGAACCGCCTGTGATATAGAGTGGGTGAGGTTGAATATATATTTAGCAAGAGGATGGAATTTGAAATGCATAATGTTTAAAATGTTTTTCTTATTTTACTGAGACATGTCAATTAAAAATAATATTGAAAAAAGCAGGTATTGCTGACATGAACATCTCGTTCTATTGAGACGGTTTTGTTTGCATATATTAAATATACGAGAACCCTTAACGAACCAGTTAAATGCAATTTCTAATTATAATTATCTCAACATGATAAATATACTAAATCATTCTTTTCTATAGCCTGATACATAATACTGTGTCCAGTACTTGTGTTAGGAATTTTTAAAATTAATTTTTTATAGTTTATTGAAAATAATTTGTTCAATCATTAAATTACTTCACTTTTTTGGAATTTAGAGTCTGAAGAGATGAAAGTTAGATGCCACTTGCATTCGACCTAATATATTAAGTTGCCCCCAAGTTTATTGCATATACATGGATGAAAAGTATTACTATATATATGTTCCTCGAAGAGTGAGGAAAATTTTAATAAGTTGTAGAAAAGACTTGAAAATATATCATCTTACCTTCTATACAACCACAATGGCGAGGCAATCAATCCAGACAATAGATCTGATATTGCAAGACTTAAAATAAATACATTCGTTTTTGTTCTCATATATCTTCTAGTAGTAATAGCGAGAATCGTCACAATATTTCCGATTGCACACCAAAGTCCTAAAAATGCAATCGCGACCGTCATTGCAACCTGAACATAGAGCACACGTATTTTCTGCGAATATCAGGTCTGTGTACGCGGGGATATTGCTAAAATACAATTTATAAAGGTACCTGTTGTTCATGAGTAACAGGAGATTGTCCGACCGCATTTGCGGGTACAGTTGTTGTAGAATTAGGATCTTGAATCGAAACAGTGGAATGAATATCAGACATCTTAGAAGAATTTTCCTCAATTTTTAAATCGGTATAAAGAAACAGTCCTACACTTTGAATAAAAAATTTGTAGGTTTAAAAGCGTTGAACCGTGTATTAAACACTAGTGACAGTCATGTTGGACTCATTGATATTGCCAGAATTCGTAAATGAGTAAATCTAAGTGTAGTTTTTGCTTTGGCTTCAAAATATTTTTGATTCAACCCAAATTTCGATGCCGCATATAATTAACTTCTGTCTCTACTATCTTCCTTATCATTATATTGATTGAGATTTGAACATTCGATTACTTAACACTTTAACAGAAACGTGATCGTCTGTGAAATATACCAAATTGAGACCTATTCGTCGGGTGAACTAAACTGAACTAAATCTATTAGCGTATGCCTCTTGGACGATATTGTTCTCCTATGATGAACAATTCCTTGGAAACAGTAAAAACACTTCTCTTTACTACTGTAGATGTATCGCCCTTTTAAGTTTTTTGTATTTATTCCACATTATGCAATCAAAAATTATTGTATCATCGATTGCTCAAATTGATTGGCTATTAAAATAAAAATGTTTGGTATTAGAGTAATTCGGAAATGATATTTTAATACCGGTATTGATACCATATGGAAAGCGAAATGAAACGGCTAAGCATTGTATAGTATAACTCTACATTCTACTTCTTCTGAATAAAATTGCGTTGAAGCGGTAACTAACTTATTCTATGCTGAACGACAGTCAATTAAAACGTGAAAAAACATATTAACTAGTATACAGAGGAAGTTGATGTTTCCAATTGTCATATAAATTATTCAGTACCCTGTCATTTATTTGAAACTAAAACTCCTATACTGTCGTATGTTCAATAAAGCTTTATATACAGTTGTTTAGGTGCATCCAATCCACATTACTGTATATCGCATATGATATAGGCGGTATATTAAATTTCATTCGATATCGCGATTTACGATCTGGTTTCACGAGCTGAAATCAACCTGAATACTGTATGCATGCCATAAAAATGAAGAAAACGACACCCAACGAAACGGTTTTACGCCAATTCAGTGAGAGAGAATATGTCCTATAGTATAAATTTCTTCACATCGACATTGAAATACGTCCAAACACGAAATTGATATAACAAATGTTTTTTTGAGCACGAATATTTTAAGGCGGATTTAGCTTTAAATAGTCGAGTCCTAAATGCTGCACAAACTTGTGAAATATTATGGCATTGTAGCTCGGCCAAAAATAGCAATTGATATAAAGTGTTAATGCGGATTAACGTACCCGTGAAGCCTGATTCGCGGTGGTCGCAGTCAATTTTCCGTCAATGTTTTTGTTCGTGATATGCTAAAGTTTTTTAGCATATCACTCAGCAGAGTTTAATTTCAACTAACGTTTCAGCTCGTTGATTACATTCTTTTTCATTTTACGCTAATAATTTTTTATTGTTTTCTATGTTTACCAAACTGCTAACGTGAAAAAACACTGATTTACATCTACGTTTTACACACCCTAAGACTATTGCATTGATTTCTCACTCTGTACTAATCACGGATTGCAAACAGGCTTCCATCACAAGTATACCAAGTAATCGTCGCGAAGCAAAGTTTACTTGTCAACCAAATTGCTTCCAATATCTGAAATTGGTCTACACAATCACGTCTTTGTTTTAAGTAAGTTTCGCCGGAAGTGTTGTGCGTTGCTTGGACGTAAGCGTTAGGTACAGCTTCCTTCCTGCTTGTTTTACTTGGGTTTCGAATTACAGGTTACTTTCTATATTACAACAGTTCCTTGTATTACGCAAAATCGCAATCTAAACCTTCATACTTTGTTCCAAACTTTGATAATTATAACCAACGAAATACTGTGATCTTTTCTACGACTCGGATGAATTCGTTCTCATCATTTGAATTCATGATGATTACTTGTTTTAAAACGAGTATTATTGTATCTGTTTTGTGTGAAATACAAGGGTTTTTGTATTAATAAGTTAGGAAATGGAAACGAAATATGATGACTTAAGCAAGAATCTACTTTATTTGACAAACAATGGCAATAACTTACAATACATAACGGGCATTTGGCGACATGACACGTCATGCTTCAGAGCTTATATGAGTCCCTGCCCCGCAAAGTATCCAACTCGAGATCGGCGGGGCTAATATCAAGATTCCCCCCTCAACATATAATAATGGATACAAGTACCAAACAAATTAAACTTTGGTGCATCATGAACCTAATACTTCGACCATGCTCAATGAAATAGACATGAACAAATTTCACTTCAGTTAATTGCTTTCAAGGTATTAGACCTGCACCTGGAACCAGTTCATATGGTCCAAACCATGTCTTAAATTTCAATGAAGTGAATTAAACTGGCAGTGTAAAATGTCACATAGAAGAAAAAAATCTCATTTCTATTCAGGTTATTTTCATAGAATTTTTTCACTCACCAATCTAACTTTGACGTCTATTCTGTCGTGCATAACGTTTTGTTCGAATTTCTGAACATCCTGCAAATTTACTTGTTGTATCTGACCTAGCAGAATACAAGAAAATTCGCCTGCACATTTTAAAAAGCAAATGGGACGACCTCAAGCTAACCAAATGAATATAATTCTTTTGACTAAATTGTATTGATTGATTCAGTGCTTAAGATGAAAATTTGCGCTCTAAACGAAATATTTTGAAGTTCAGACGGAACTTATAAGACTGCATAGTATAGTGCATAAGTTCAACATTGGACGACGGCATTTTAAACGCAATGGGAAAGTAACATTGCGTGAACATGTTTCACTCAAGCAAGCTCGGGTATGGCGAGGGGAAGTTTTGATTTCTTCTAACCCAATATCTCTGAATATGGACTCGGCTCTTTTTCTCTATCTCAGGTTCAAACTATTTCTTCCGGTTCGATCTGACATCTCATACTCTCAGTCCTTCGACAATATCAAATATATAGCCAGTCTAACAGAATAACTGAACGTTATAAACGATAAGTTTTTGAAAAAAAGTATAGGGTCAGCTTTTCCATTGTATTCAAATTTACGATTCAACAAACTCAGGCTTTATTCTAAATAAGAAATAGTGTATTGCGTCGAAAGGTAAGCAATGCAGTCATGTCGCAGTCATATTTCATAGGCTATATTTAATGCACCAACGTCACAAATCCCGAGTTATCTTATCCCAAAATGTGCTTATATAAGATTGAATAAAAATTTTCAAATTTGCTAATATTTAAAGAAGGAAATTAGTTGTAATCAAGAATCATATTAACTACAGAAAGACCTACTATGCAATGAATATTTTTTACCAAGTTACAATCTTAATTCATTTATTTACAATACTGACGTAGCACCTTACATATATATTTATTATTTTCTCCCACGTGTGAATTTCTAACTCATCTGTGGGTGCAATTTTATCTATTTTACCTGCTGATATTGGTAGATAATTATAGATAAATTTATTTAATATTATTCTTATTGTATGAGCAAACGATTACCATAACATTGATGTCGATGTCTCTTTCGTCGTTTACAACGATGAATCAAAATAAACCTGAGTTAAGAAGCTAGCTAGACTGTAATTTTATTAATAACAAACAAGCTGTCGATTGTAAATATTCGCTAATATATAATATTATTACGTGACATCGCCTACGCTCCTTGAAAACACCATTATGACAATGTACTTTTATAACGATAGAATCTATATTTTGTGGCAATACGAACACTTTATTTTGCAACACGCCAAATCTTTTTCTTATACTCAAGTGTAAAAAATTTCCTTACGATTACTAGTATGAGTAAACATCCAACTAATGGCTAATTCACAGCGACACAAAATATACCCGGTGATTACGAGACTTTCCAAACATTAATAAATCGATTTGATGGAATTTCAATAGTACAGACTACAGATAACCGGGTTGGCTATGACAACAGTGTTTAAATCGCACTTCAAATCTCATGTCATTTTGACCAAACTATTCGCTGTATAAATTTCTGTTGGTTAGATTCGCATGCTAACTTGCACGGGAGAATTGAGATAACTCACGGCAACAATTTTCTATATATATATACTTTTCAGAAAACTTTTATCTAACAGTGCTGTTTTTTATGTAGCCTAGTTCTGCGCGGAATATTCACTTTAAAGGATCACTTCACTTTAATAATTGAGATCACATGCTAATTTTGTGAAAAGTGACGTTATATGAAAACCATAAAGTTGAACCTTGCTGAACTCATGTATACACAGAATAATCGTTAATGAGACATTCAAAGATTTACATCATAGACTGCGTAATAGGAGAAAGCTGGTGCGTGGTTCCTTTTTACTTGAGTGTTTTGAAAAACTCAAAGTCTAGGTTAAGAACCACAAAATGACGTTTTTATATTCATGCATTGCGTCATTACTCTTCCCCTTGCACAGCGAACCTCATTACAATGAGGAATAGGGTTTCCTCAATTTTTATATAAGATCGAAGTGACTTACTGTTTGACTCACTTATTTTATCACCATTTATTGCAGGTTGCGGCTTTTGTTGCGTCAAAGCATGGTATCGTTGTTTCCTCATGAAACATAACATTAGTTTCAAACTTCTTGGTTACTATTTTTTTTTGACTATTTTCTTTCAAACGGAATCATGCTAGCTACATCAATTCAGTATCTCGTCATTCCAATTTATAAGACGTCTGATCTTGTTTAGATTTAGAGGCTCGTGCTTACAAGGTATCTTCATGTTGATGTTTATGGTGTACGCCATAAAGTAGGTTTACTACTTCTGAAGACGTTCTCGGTTGTTTAGAATCTCTCTAAAGTCGCGAACCTTGTTTTTGTTTATGCCAACGTCTGGATTTTGAGAAATTGGGGAATCTTTTTTGCACCTTTTCGTTTGGAAAGAATAGATTGGGGGGGAGGATTGATTGCTGTGCATGTTTCGGTGAAGTTGTGACGATCTTGTTTTGGTATTGTTAAAAACTCTTTTCCTTCCGCACCCACTTTTTGCAGTTGTTTTTAAGTTCTTTGCGTGTTTATGCTGTAAAATTTAGTGTCGAATGTCGGCTGTGTCACCCCAATATAATTGAAGTTATAAGCGCTTCTTTATGTTGAAAATATAAGACTATTACAATTTCAATAACTTCGTCTATAGTGATTAGTTACCACTACACATAAATTGTTTGTTGACTGGACTGGTTTGCGGATTATGACCCCGGCATTGACTGACAATAATTTTGTTTTGCGTTCGACCTCGAACGTCTATCTGTCGATAGCCTCCGGCCGTAGTAAATGGACGTTTGAAACACCTTTTATTGCAAATTTGACAACATACACAGAATACAATGCACACACAATTAGATCAAATCTAGTCTGACTAGCATTAAAAGATAAAAGTATAGCAGAATTTATAGGTTTCTACGGAGCACTTAAAATATAATAAAGAAACCAATTTTTACATTAACAATGAAAGAATAACGTGTCATTCCGGTTTCTGGGTGTTTTTTGGTTTTCTATAATCAAACATTATTAGAAGTGTTTTCTTAAAATTTAATACTAACAATTAACTTGTTATTGTCAAGTCATCGTGTTCCTGGTCACGTACTGATTCCAATTATGATATTTAAAAATTATTTATAAATAAATAGTTAGTCCATACCAGTATGTTTCGAATTTACGTTATTGGAATATTACTTGAAATGAAATTTAATTTTACATTGAATGGCACCGAAAGGCTTTTAAAACTTGAACTTGGATTTCGAGAAATTTATAATTGCAATTGCGGGAATAATTAATTCTTTTTTTCATAAGTTTCTCACGAATTGGGCCAATTTGGTGTAGTTTTGTTGTTACATAACAACCAATTGGCTACATAACTCCCCCTCGCAAGTTCGGAGAATTGGAAGGATGCAATTTTGACTGAGAAAGCGGAAATGACGTGTTGTCTTCATGAAATTCAACTAAAAATATAGAATAATATTTAAAGCTGTATAAAGGTAGAAAAAATATAGTTTTTTTTTATAGACATTTATACATGAGGTATATTATTGTGATAGACATTGATATAATGCACAGAGTAATTCATTGTAAACACATGCTAGAAAAAAATCATGTTAAAGGATAATTATGTACAATATGAACATTGCTAATCGACTAACCTGCCAGACTAGGGTATAAGTTTGCATTGGAACTATTATTGGTATTTAGTCTAGGTTGATAAATTTGACCCCCCTGATCTTGTCTATTGTTTTGCACAAGAGGTTGAGGTGGTTCAGCAGGGTTCATTTGTTCCCTGCGAGCATTCAAGTATTGCCGAAGCCGTTGTATTCTAGGAAGTACTTCATCTTTCAGTTTTGAGCAAACTTTTTTGATAAAACAAACGGTCCAAATAGTGGCCCAAGTGAAAAACAAATGGAGTAAGAGCATATAAAGACCTGATAAAATTGACGTATTAATGAAGGAGAGGTCATGAACAAAAGTGTTTCGCACTTCATGTGAGATAGCATCAGTATCAGTGTCTGATGTGCTATCTGTATTAGGTAGGGTTTGCTCATTTAATATTCGTTCTCGAATAAGGTTAATGTGGCTGATTGATAACAGCATATTATTAAT